TTTTGAAATTTTTTTTGTGGTGGGGGGGGGGGGGGTTTATATATATTTTATTACTACCGATTCAACCTCGGTTGAACCCAAAACGGCCTTTTGACCCTCGACTACTATTTTTTTCCTTCTTCAAGTCAATGCTTGGGTAGGTTTTGAACAGAGCAATTTGGTTCACAAAACGCACTTTGCGAAATAGTTATTTTGTTTTTATGGTTTGGGCAGGGTGACGATGACAATAACACTGTTCATTCTGATCAAGACTCTGATAATGATGGAGATCGTGAGGTGAATCTGCTTGGGGTACCGCTCTTAGAGAATGCACCAAGTCGGGAGGAGATTGCAGCAAAATGGTTCGGTCAAGATGTCTTCATGGACGCCGATGAAAGAGAGGATTTGGAGAATGATGATAGCAAAGACAAAATGCAGATGGATTTGCCGGTCAAACATCCTGAACTTCAGGAGAAGAAAATTGAAGATTCACTAAAAAAATACATGGATTCAAAGACGAGTAAATTACCGACAGTCAAAGCTGCTAAGGTAGATGATGATTTTGAGATAGTTCCTGCTCCACATACAGACTCTAGTGGTTCTTCATCAGATGACTCAGATGATGATGGCATTAAATCAAAAGCAGAGATATTGGCTTGTGCAAAGAAGATGCTGATGAAAAAGCAGAGGGAACAGATTCTTGATGATGCGTACAACAAATATATGTTCCATGATGAGGGATTACCCAAGTGGTTCGTGGATGAGGAAAAGAGGCATTATCAGTCGATCAAGCCGGTGACAAAAGAGGAGATTGCTGCAATGAGAGCACAATTCAAAGAAATTGATGCTCGGCCTGCTAAGAGGGTGGCACAAGCCAAAGCTAGAAAGGGTAGCTAGAAAAGGTACGCAAGAAGGCGAGCTCTATATCGGACCAGACAGAACTATCTGATCATTCGAAGAGGAAAATGATTGAACAGCTTTATAAGAAGGCAACACCTAAAAAACCTAAGAAGGTATATCATATATGTGTATATAGGCAACATATAGATTTTTTATGGATTCATTTCGTTCTTTTCAATCTAAACTAGGTGATGGAAGTATTCTTTCGTTTCTCGACGTTGAAGTAAGACCAAGCTCAAGAGTTGTCCAAGTCAAGGCTGGCAAGGGGGAAGTTCTTGTTGACTGACGAATGAAAAAGGATGCCAGGAAGCAGGGAATGAGCAAGCTGGTTAAAGAAACAAAGGGAAAGGAGAAAGGTAAAGGATCGGCAAAGGGATCAGGAAAGGGGAAGGAAAAGGGAATGAGAAAGGGAAAAGGTGGAAGTAAAATGAAGTAGAGGGAAAATGCATCTTTGAATGCGGGGAACTGCGAGGGAGGGTTGTTCGGGAGACTTATAATAGGGCTTCCCTGGAATGCTATATGGGAAGGGGACGATGATTCACCAGGATTGATTTTAAGCCCATGTTTGATTCTCATTACTTGGTAATGAAAATGGGTAGAATAGTATTTTTTTGAAAAATGAGTGGTTGAAAAAGAGGAAATTTTTTTTATTTACGTGTAGTATTATTTTATGGAAGATTGTATGGTTGAAAATAGGAGAGAGAAAAATAGAATGTAATGTAATGTAATTTAATTTAATGGGGGCCAAACGGGGGGTAAGTCGAGACTGCACGCTTGCCTTTGCTATGATTTGTTTTTTATAATTTTGTTGTAGCTAAGGTTTTGTGGCTGGAAAAGTTTTGCTTTTATTCTCTCTACTTCTGAGTTGTTGCTAAGGTATTCTTGGTGCAACAGTTTTGCATGGTTGGTATTCATTCTGTACAACAACTGTGTTTTTACTGATTTTTGAGTAGATATAGGATTTAAATTGTATAAGAAGGGTTGCATTTATTAAACACGTGTGCTGTGCAGATAGATTTAATATCCGAGTTTTCCTTTTTTGCCGTTCTATTTTGAACAGTTGGGGCTATGCTCTGTCAAAACTAAATTTCTATTAATGCAAAATGGAAGTATGATAATTTTCTATCGACAATATATCTAAATAATAGATATTAGTGTAACTATTTTTTTTATGGGTTGACATATGCTCATCTATTTTGTTATAATAGAAATTGAGAAGTCTTAAAATTTGGTAAAATTTTGTAAGTGGTAGAAATATGATGTAAATTTGACATCAATTTGGAAAGGTAATGAATTCTTAATTTCACCGAACGTACTCAATTTTTTCATATTGTTGTGCTTATGGTTTCAAATTTTTTATTATATTCTTATCCTGAAATTTTAATCAATTAACACATTTTATCTTAAATATATTGATAATCTTGCTCATTTACTTGTACCATAACACTTGAAAACCCAAGAAAAAAATTATTGTTCTATCGAATGGAATTAGTCAATTGGTTTGGAAAATTGAAATTTCAAAAGGTTCTGGAAATGATGAACAGCGTGGAACAGAGAAACTTGAATTAAAAAATGAAATTTGTTCTTATGCGAGAAATAAGATAAAAAAATTTTAATTAAAAGCTTCTAACTTTTTATCACTTCCCTTGTATAATCTTCTTCTTTATCTCTAATGTCAAGTCATGCCACGCATTTTTTATTGTTCTTAAGAATTCTTAGCTCCTTTGAGCACGCAATAAAGGAATTCAAGATAGAGAGAAAAAAGAGTTACACATTCCGATGAGAAAAAGGGAATAACTAGCACGATGGAGAATCGGAGATCGAGGAAGATGAAAACAAATTTTTTTTTTTTAGAATTTACATTTTATTATTCCATTAATCACTTTGGTGGAGGAATATTTTGAAAAATTTAAGAAAAAGAACCAATTATTGTATGTGGAAAAATTAACCTGGCATTCATTTCAACCATATTAGTAAAATAAGAAGAAAAGTAATCCAATATCAACAGGCAAATTCCATGGCGGCTGGACGGTCCAAAAAGCACCGCGCACGAGATTCATATCATTGTTGCATAAAAACCCCCCCCCCCCCCCCCCCCCCCCCCCCCCCCCCCCCCCCCCCCCCCCCCCCCCCCCCCCCCCCCCCCCCCCCCCCCCCCCCCCCCCCCCCCCCCCAAATTTCTTCAATCCATTGTCAGTTTTTAACTTTAAAATCAATTCAAAGCCGATAAAGAGAGAGGGAAAATAAACAAAGAATCAAATCCACGAAATGGATACGTTAATGGAGGAAGAAGAGTACAACTGGAGAGAAGTGAAACTCCCATTGCTGATACCAGTTGTGCCGGAGCCGGAACTGGAGAGAGAAACAGGAGAGAGAAGGAGAGGAGGCGACATAATAATCGCAGTTGATCATGGCCCCAATAGTAAACACACGTTTCATTGGGCTATAACTCATCTCTGCCGCCTCGCCGATACCATTCACCTTGTACATGTCGTTTCCAGTTAAGCCCAATTTTATTTTCATCTTGTTCTATGTAAAGTATTAGGGAAGATTGGGAACTGACTTCCTACTCAAGTAATAAGTCGAGGACCATTATTGAAATTTTCTTGATTCTTATGCATTTATTTATTTTTTGTGTTGGTTTGAAGAACCAGATTGTTTACGATACGACCCAGGTTCTTATGGAGAAGCTTGCAGTGGAGGCTCTTGAGGTTGCTATGGTAATTTCTATTTCTTTTTCTAAATGTAGTCTCAATTTGTTTTGGTAGTTTTGTGTTTTTGTGGAGTTTTCATGGAACATTTGATGTGGCAAAAAATAATATTGGTTAGTTTATGTGACATTAACATTGTGTTTACAATTATGGATGCATTTTGTTTTCAATAAATTTGAAGTTGGTTACATGGAATAGACATCTTAGTTTTTGTTGACACATACTGTTGTACTGAAATCGTGTCTCTCTTACGAGCATAAACTTCTTTAGATCTACACAAAAGTGACACTTTATTCATTTTATAATTACGATTAAAAAAATGCAAATTATGTGTTGAGATGAAATGATTAACAAAATATTACACCATTTAATGTATGCATATGAGGAAACGTGCAACTATTGGACATAGAGTTTGCGACATAGCGACCTTGTTTTTTATTTTCACGGCTAAAAAAATAGTAATGTGAGTGAAGAATAGTTCTGGAGACCTATTTTCGTGGTTAGAAAAATGGATTTGGATTTTTGCCAAATGTTTACATAAATTTAAATTATTTGAGCAATTGAATAATTTATTGATCAATACTACCTCGTTCAACGCCCTAGTATGTCTTCTTGCCATCTCTTTTCCTCTTTACAGTTTCCAGATACCATGATCTATCTTTTATGCAGAGGTGTGTCTGTTTCGGTGTCTACATTGTTCTTGTACTTGGATGCTCTGGCTTTTATGCTCTTCTTTTTTATTACGAAAAATTTAAAGTAATTCTTGCTCTCATATATTGTGAACCTGGATTAATTGTATTGTTTCTATAAAACTCATTTGACTTTTGAAAAGAGAGAGGAAAACAGAAGTCCAGTCGTGAACTCTATGGATTTGCTATATTCTAGCTTTAATGGTATTTTATATAGAATTTAGTACATTACAAATAGGTAAAGTCGAAGGCTAGGATCGTGGAAGGAGATGTAGGGAAGGCAATTTGCAAGGAAGCAGAGAGGTTGAAGCCTGCTGCTGTTGTTCTTGGCACCAGAGGCCGAAGCTTGATGCAAAGGTGCCACTCTCCCTTGTTCTTTCACCCCCTTCCCTGTTTACGTTCGACTGACATTTTTATTTGACTCTACTTCAGTGTGCTACAAGGCAGCATTAGTGAATATTGCTTCCACAATTGTAAAACTCCACCCGTCATTATTGTGCCCGGAAAAGTTATAATCTCTCTGTTAACCCAAATTGTTGAACTTTTTAGTTTTAAGTCTTACGAAGTGATATAAATTTTATTCAATAACAGAGGCAGGGGAAGAATCTGTTGTGTAATGGAGCAGGCAAAGATGAGTAACTCCAATGAATCCTTGTCCCGCATGTTAGTGTTAACTGCAGCTGTTTCTTGAGAGCAAATATCCGTTCAGAATGATTGTGTGTGTATGTTTATATGGATTAGATTTTTATGTATTGAGTTATCATTGATGTTAAAATTTGCATATTAAATTGCCTCTCTATTTATTTGATCGTCTTGCTTCCTCACAGCTTTAGATTTTTCATCCTGCATGTAAACTATGTCATGGTTATTTGTATACGTGCACTCACGCATACACAAAATTTCACAATAATTAAGTGAAAGATTGATTGATAGTAACATGGAAGCAGGATCCTCTAAACTTGGGAGAGAAATGCTAACATTGCCAGAAAAAAGTCACCTACTTCTTGGCATTCTGTTATTTGACTATTTAAAAAACAATCAATTTTTGAACCAATTATCTACTGTCAACACTGCATCTGTCAAATAGGTGGGGAAAAATAAAATCATCTGGCAAAATGGCTTAACTGAATTCGGGATCATCCTTCTTGTGTATACAAGTGCTTTAGAATTTTCTAAATTGTCTTCAATGGATTAGCATATCCAGCCATTTACCTATACATGTCTAACGAGTATTTACCAATTTGATATTTGGTCACATCTCTAACAAATTCAAGATGATGTTCGTAGAAATTCTGAACCAAAACGAGATGGTCTGATTTATGGTTTCCGAATTGATATAGACAAAAAAAAGTTGACTGGGAGAATTCCCTTCAATTTAGACCCCTGATATAGATTACGATGCCTAGCGGTATGTAAAGTACTCGAGAGGATTAGATTGTGCGGGGATACTGTCAAGTATCCCTTATCAATTAAGTCTGTGGCTATCTTATCTGTGCATTGAAATGTGAATGGCGCACACATGTACTATCTAGTGCATCCTGGCCAGGGTACAAGAAAATTTTTGCTTGGGCGGGTGACACAGGCTCTTATGTCCACAAAATGAATACGTCGCATGGAGGCAATTATTTAGGTTCTTATACAAGCATCATGGGAATACTACATTATTTATTTAGGTTCTCAGACAAGCATCACAAGAGATACTACATAAATGTATACATTTAACATGTGTTTTGTCAAGGCACTGATATTTTTTATTTTTTTATTTTTTTTGTAATCTTGGGCATGTTTCGGGTGGTTTATAAGTGAACTTCTAAACACGAGATAAGCCTATTTAGTTGTAGAATTCGCCTTACAAAACGAGATATTGGTGTCCATTCTCTTTAGCCAAAGAATATCTACATAATTAATATAATACCACACACATATGCATATACTGCACGTAGGAATGTCATGTAAAAATGTTCGAAAGGAAGTGACTTAGCATTGAGCAATACAAGAGTAGAAAATGGTTCTTTCTTTTTAGACCAATAATTTAACTTTTAGATGATATAGTGGTTCACCGTTATGTTGTTAGATGCCTCTTCGTATCTTCTTCAGTTTTTCCCTGGCAACATTGTCTCAACGGTGGGATTTTTCAAAACTCCATGGACATGCAGAAAAGAAATGCTATCCCCACTCAGACCAAGACAGAACTTTGACTTGTTCAAATAACAATTAAGATGAAGCAGGGTAAGGAGCCACCCACGTTGCAGATATGCTAAGAGCCTAATCATATTGAAAACATACCCCTTTTATTGCAGTTCGACCTGTTATTCCAAAGGCTTTAGAATGTGGGTTGCTTTGAACCACGAACCTGTGTACATAATGGTTCTCCAAGCAGACTAGATAGTAGATAAGGTGTTTGATTTTCTTAGAGAGTAGAGATCAAGAAACTTCTCTATGAATCCGAAAAACTGCTATTAGCACTAGATAAAGATGATCAGCTACAGGTTTTGTTGCTCATTGATGTATAGAAAATCTTGAAAAGAATCGAAAGAGTCTGTGGCCCCTTGAGACAATTTGCAAAAAGACCTCATGCTTGTGATTCTCCTCTAGTGATTAGTTGAAAATTACATTTGCAGCTTTTCTAGGAATCTGTATGTATAAAAGAGAAGATTTTGGAATTCAGACAAACCTTTCTACAGATATTTGGAATCTTTATCATTGGATCTATCTTCAATGGAAATAAGATCTGTGGATGTTTCTCACTCTTCTGCTGCAGTTGGTCCTTCCCACAAGGTCGAGATCGTTAACGATGTGGAAATATTTCCATCGTACTTTTCCCTTTCTCGTTTGACTATGTTCAAAATAGCCAGGTTTCACAGTTTTATTTTGTCTTGGTAACTAAGTTCAACAACTAAATGTAATTGAGAATTTAAATACTTCAGAGGAAAAAAGTGAGGAGAGAAGCACAAATGGAGAAACCTCTATGTGGGTATGTTTGGTATGCTGGATCGGACAATACTGAATAAAAAACAAAAGAACTTATATTCTTATTTGTTATTCTCTATAATGTTGTAGAGTAGTGCATGCGAAATGTGCCTTTAACATTTAAATTATGCTTAACCCACGGATTTTATTTAGAAGAATCTTCAAAGCTTCAAGTTGATATAGGTATCAGAAATTTAATTTCTTAGTTTAGATGAGAAGACTAATGAATGTTTCTTTGCTGCAATTTAAAGCTTGCAATGGGAATTTGAACCAATTATTCGCATTTGTATATTATCTTTTACAAGTTGTATTCCTATTATGAAGTACTAAGATGCAATCACTTGTCAACTTGCTGGCACTGCAAAAAGCTCTGATCCGAATGCCCCTACTTCCATTTTGCAGCATTTTCCAAGGTTCATAAAGCCGGGTTTCTGTGTGTGAGGGAATGCAAGATTAGCACTCTCAAAACTAAACTATAATCGACAAGATTTTTAACTTTCTTTTTTATTATCGTCATCCAGTTAAGGTCTTTTCGGAACCGCATTCTACACAATTTTGATCCCAATTTCTTTTACTTCCAACTGCAGAAACATTTTACTCATGTTTTTATGTTTATATACACTCATGCGGCCGTGCCCTTATTTTTATGTTCAAAAATCAGCTTTTTATATCAGTCGGACAAGTTGATCGACCGTCTAATTCAACGGGGTAGGCAAGGGGCAACAAATAGGTCAGCCTGAACTTCCAATTTCCTCCAAGGGTGGCCGTCCTCCTCAAGTTTTAGGATTTATATACTTTGGTCCTCCAAGTTCTTGGTTTGTACATTTTTAGGCCCTCAACTTTGAGTATGTCAATTTGGATCCTTGAACTATCAATTATGTGAACATTGGTCCTCCAACTTTCAAAATCTTCCTCTTTGTTCCTCCAACTTTAATGTCTTCAAATTTGGTGCTCTAGGTTCCGAGAAGTTGCAAGTAGATCCTCAAAATTCTAATTTTGTCCAATGTTTGTCGCCCAAACTCTTCGGAAGCAGAATTTTAGTCCCCAAAACTTGTGAATTCATCCAGTTAGAACTTTTAAGGCTACCAATCAAGTCCAAACTTTTTGGTAGCGTTTCAATTTTGTGCTTTTAGCTTCAATTATGCTTCATATCACTTCTTTTTTGCTCGATTCAATTTAAGTCGAAATTTTACTTGTAAAAATAATATATATACTAAATTAAGAAAAAATTCACTCAAACAATCAAATACTAGGTAGATTTAAGAACTAAATAACTTCATAATGGTGTAATATAACTTTATTTTATTGGAGTGCTGGCTGGACATGGGAATGGTTCTATGATACACAAGAAGAGGGCTTCTTTCATCCATGCACACAAACCGTTTGTAATAATGCCAGAGTGTGCATACTAGACTTAGACCAATGGTAGCATGATGATGGGCAAGCACCTGATAACAAGGCCAATTACGAGGATATTAGTTAGTCAAAATTATACCACACAAGGTATTTAAAGATGACAATTCAAAAATCAGATGTAAAGTTTATTTAAGCATAAATCAAGTGATAATTAAATTATTTATTGAAAGCTAAATTATATTATATTACATCCACCTTCGATATCTATTCCTATCCCATTCTCTCTTTCCCCATCTCTCCATTGTCTACCAACCGATTGTAACGTCAACTACCCCGTTCGTGGAAATGGCTGTCGACGGTGAGAAGAAATAGATCTGAGCGGTACATTTGCTACTCTATTTTTTTATGATGCTGTTCCATGAAGACTATTGACTAAGTGAGGCAAGATGGCCGGTTGCTGAACACAACCTTGTGAGGCTCAATCGTCGATGCGATCAAATTTGAGCGGTAGAGACGCTTGTTCTCGAGACATGGTGTTGGCTATTGTTTTCGGTGTTAGCTGTTGTTTTTGGTGCTGATGGAGGTGATGCCGTGGTTATTGGTGCTAATGGAGCTGATGCTGTGGTTGTGGTAGCAGTAAAATTTTAGGCCATATGGTGGTGCGCCGTGGTTGTGGTGGCGGTAAAATTTTAGTCATTCTAACCCACTTCGAGAGGAGGCGCCATTTCTTCCAAAGTTACGAGACTATTTTGCTAAGCTTCTTATAAAGAATTGTCTTTTAATTTTAGATAATATGCTTTACTATCTACCTTTACCAAATTTTTTATACAAGTATTCTTCATTTACTTAATAAGATAGAGTCAAAGTAACCTATTATAATTAAAAGTTAAATATCATCATCAAGTTGTACTCTAAAAAAAATATTCAAATATTTGTTTTAAAAAGAGGCCTAGCCTTGAGACCTAAAAATATGTTCTATTGGCTTTGTTCTTCTATTTTACTACCCAATTCAACATATAGATATGATTCAAATTCCAATCACGTTCTATATTATTAAACTTTAAATTACACAATAAATAAGTAAGAATTATGAGTAGGACTGGGCAAATTTTTAGAACCGAACCCAAATCGAACCCGACGATTCTTGTCAAATTAAATACCCGAACGGGTATCTGAATTGAAAATCGACGGGTACGATTCAATTCTTGGTTCTAGACCAAGAACCAAAGAACCCAAAAAGAACCGAATTTTTTTAATTTTTTTTATATTGAGTAAATCAAATTATTTTAATTTTAATTTTTTCTAAACAAATTAACAATTTCTAAATCCAAATTTTTTGTCCAATAATTTGTTTTATTTCTAATTTTTTTTATTTTTGGCCCAATTGCCCATTTTATTGTTTCATTTCTTAGTCCAACAAGA